ACTCAGCGCAATAGGCTCTTACATCTATCCCATTAGCCATTTTTGATCCATAGGTGTGTATATTTTACATACCACAAGGGGTCGCGGGTACTCCTTTGCCATCCGCGCTTCTTAAAAATTACTTGAAGCCTTCTACCCTATATAAAACTTGAGGTATGTGGTCTGTTTTCTTCCCTATCCCCATGCCTATTGAGCACTGGTCGAAAGTTCTATCGGAGAACTCCCCTATGACCATAATGTCATGGCAGATTTAGCTGCAGTGCTTTTCACTGCAAACTCCTGTAATCGTGGAGCAACATTGACTTAACTACTGCTGCTGAGACCAATGCAAGGTGCACAGTACACTACTGACCAGTTTCGCTTTTTTCTCTGCTTTAAGATTTCTCGTAAGTTTGCTGACCAAAATTACTCCCAGATACTTGGTGAAATCTTTGATTGATAACTCCATTCCCTTAAGCCTTGAGGTTTTCCACGAGGAGATGTTATACCTGTTTGTAAGCAGTATAGCATCCGTTTTTCCTGCATTTACCTCTAGGTTAGCTGATGTCCCCCTGCGATGTACGGCTATTAAAAGGCGGAACGTTATTGATGGTGACTAGGAATTTTTCCGTAACAACTACAATTATTTCGTCCGCATAGGCAATCAGTTTGCCTGCTTTACCTTCGAATTTTTCCAGAAGCTCATAGAAGCTACTAGAAGACACGAGCCTAAAGAGTTTCTCTGTCAGCAGTCTGGCTTCTTTCCACATCTAAAACTAAGTTAAAATCCAAGTAAATTGAACTATAAATACCTTTTATTCGAAACGGTCAGTTCGCTTTGGGGAAAAAAATATATTCAAAAACATGCTCGGCTCCACTGAGCACACACGGTCCAATCGTTCTAGAAGGAGCTCCATGTTATGAACACTTACGGACGATTCTTATATATAAACAGATATCCCGAATTTGAAGTGTAAACCTATTTTTAGCTACCAGTTTTGCCAAATACCTGAAGAATGATCAGGGGATTTCACACACCATTAAGTGAATCATTGAGATACAATCAACTTCGTTAGGCAGAAAGAGTCTGGAGGTGGACTATATAAAATAAAGTAGAACATGTTGATAAAGAGTCAATAGACAAGAAGTCTGGAATTAATCGAGGACGTTTGAACTCAATATTCACCTACCGCACAACGCCGGCAACAAGAAGAAGGGAAAGTAAAAATTTGTTGTCCTCACGACGCTGTTCGCAGTCACAGATTCGTAAGCAAATTTTCTGTTTCTGCACTACCTATATGCAGGGAACTGTTATACCAAAAAAGCACCTTGTAGACTGTCACATAAAATCGATCTTAGTAACAAATGTAGGGATCGGTTAATGTGCCGTCCAATGCCTTTAAAAGGATGGCAGCAGGCTAGCAGTAGCAAAGGGTTAATTCGATGACAAAATAATTTTCTAGATCATTGCTATATATGCGATTTCCAGGAATCTTGACGATCGATCAGTTGATATTTCACCTCATCTACTTAAGCCGCTCAAATCTCTAACATGTCTCGAGACAAATACTTAAAGTCTCTCACATATGAAGCAGAGCTTAGCTCTTCATTGATTCTCTCGCTGGGAATTACTTGTTTAACTGCTCAAATTTTGCTTAAGATACTAAAGACGAGCTCCTCGAGAATATAAATTTTATGTATCTTGTCTCTCACCTCTAAAAAAAAAGTCCATTTGATTGCGTCTAAAATGGTAAGAAAGCATTGTTTTATGCAAAGGTTTAAAAGTTTAAGCAAAAAAGGCCGAAGGAAACGCCATTAGCTCAATATCACGACTCTAGTGCACTCTGCTCCCTTCATCACATTCGCTTCGCGTTCGCAAGGATATCAATATCAATGGCCTTAAATTTGCATTTTTACCGCCACTCGATAAAGACAAACAATCAAGTTGAAATAAAATTATTTATGCATACAAACAGACACATATATAAATGTATGAGGTTTACCTACACCAGTGTACACACACACACACATATACATGCGTGCAGAAAAATAAATAAATATACAGCCTTAATGCCAAAAACAAACAGACAAAACAAATATTGAAATTGACTCGAAAAACTGTAAACTCGTAAACGGTAACTGTTAATATTGAATATCTTTAATGCAAGCATATCGAATGTACGTATGTATGTATGTATGTATGTGTATATTTATTTTGATTGTATGTTTTATGTATTTATTTCACTGTCATTGGCAACCTGCCAGCGATATTTGCGAAAGAATTTCGATATTATTTAATATGGTTCGAAATACGCTGGGAAATTATGGTAAAAAAAATTGTCTATACATACACACATACACGAGTATGTACATATTTATGTGTATATCGATTAGCGAAAGTAAATATTTTTTAGTTAATTTAATATTTTATTGCTCATTTTAGTGGTTTTTAATAGTCTACTCATATTTTTATCACACTCCCATTCATTTGAAAATTAAGAGTTTAACTTTTAATCACGAATTAATTACCATTATCTTATGTAAACTCCACCTAGCCGGTCGCTAGCCCAAGTTGGGAGAGGAGAAGGGCTGGACGAGGACCACCGATCGGCCTTTGGTAAGCTTATCAGCAAGTAGGAGGAAGATTGCAAGAACCCCCTCCGGAATGCCGTGAATTTTGCCAGAAAGAATAAACTGCAAGCCCGACATCAAGTGCGAAGGTATTAGCGCTGGCTATACTTCAGGTGGTACCCACGTAAGTGGAAATCCTTGCGCAGCTAAAAGGGCCTCCACAAATAAAAAGAATATAAAGTTACCAGTGGGACTAAATGCGTAATCGATCCAAAGCCTCCAGCAACGGTAAAAGCTCCAGACCAGTGATAAGGCTAAAATTATAAAAAAAAAACAGAAAACCCACTTCCCGCAAGGAACCGCAAGGGCCTAGCTGCAAGGAATATCGCTGCACCTTAAGTGTCAAGCACCCGTGGAAGTAGCGGCTCATTTGAAAATCCAATGAAGGACCGAAGGTCATACGCAGACATGACCCGTCCTTTCAATAACGCCATCATCGATGCTGGTAGACCCGGAGGAACATGTCTTGTAAGCAGCAGATTTTGCTGGAGGAGGCGCTTAGTGACGGTCTTATGAACCTCATCTTGATGTCAGCCTCAGGCAGACTGGCCATTAATTCTAACGAAGGCATCGCAGCCATCCTGTCAATGGTATAGAGTCTACTGGAGTTAAAGAACCACTCCAAACCAGGACTTGTACGTGACAAAGATGTCCTCAAGCTCTTGAAAATATATATTTTTTTTAAAAGCAGTGCGGTTGTAATTTTAACTGAGTATATCTTGAAAATGGTAAATCACCAAGCAAAACAGGGTATTTGGGACGAATATATGGGATATATTCAACCGCACCGGCACGCCGAAAGGAGAAATTATCATATTTGATACCAACTAGAACTCCCTATTCTTTCTTAACTATGTTGATGGCTCAACTTTTCTCAACCGTCCAATTCGGAGATGGCTACCGGTATGTGGTTACCGAACCGCCGCAAGATAGTGGCCCCCTTGAAGCTGCTAGCCTTTAGTTGAACGGTGGAGGAAAGCAGATGAGACCACCACCTGCCGGGATTACCAGTCGACCCGTTGCCAACGGAAAAGCATAGACGTGTATGTCTTCCATCCACGTCATATTGGCAGGCCACCACGGTTCTATCGACGTAGCAAACGCAGACGAGAAGACGTGTATTGCCGAGAGGATAACCTCTGCTCAAGAGTATAGGCTCCTTGGTACCTCCGAGAGAAAATCATGGTAGTTACGCTTTCAAACTATCATCATAACAGCGTGGCATCTACGAGTCTGCTTGAGCGCTTACTTAAAGGTAGATTAATATAACATTAATACAGGAATCTATCACCTTTAGGAAGAGGGTTATCCGCAACTAAAGAAACAACTATTTTATGCCTGCTGCGGGGTCAGAGACCAAGGATCTGCACAGCTTGCGAAAAGCATTTCTCTCTTTCACCATAGCTGTCATCCAGGTAAAGGTCAGAGCGGTAAAGCCGGCAAGCCACCCATGTTTTTCTTAGTTTTTGCCACGCCCATAACTTTTAGGAGAGCATTTTTAAAAATATTTCAAGTCGAATTTTGTCATCTTTAGCATGAAAATACACCACATGCCAATTTCAGCCAAATCGACTGCAATCAATCGAGGACGGTAAAGTTACTAAATCTTACGGACTTATTGACACCGTTAAAACTTTACATTTTTCATATTCTTTTTTATTTTATTTATTTTCGTACCTTTATTTTTATTATGCCAATCAATTAAATTCACAATTGACCTGCAACTGAAAATTTTCGGATTTCATACGTAATTCCAGTGCGTATGAGTAACCTAGCCACAAAAAAATCTGGTTTTTGAAAGTGTTGTAACCACAAAAAATTTTCGTAGAGCTTTTGCTGAAAACTAATTTTGGTCAAACCATTGAAGTACGTGGTTTGAAAAGTTGTGCTCTCAGAAAAACAAGTTTACATTTACAGCTTTATTTAGCATTTTATGAAATTGGAAAATATGTATGTACATGTGTACGTTGTGGTAAGGATGTCAATGAAATATGGATAGATTTTTCTTTAATGCATCGGTAATTTAGCCTTCGATGTATACTTGGGAAATTGCAGCTAATTCAAAAAAATTGTCAAAATTGATCAAAAAAGTTTGTAACGGCGTCTTGAAATGTAAGAAGAAGATATGATGGAAGAAAAATAAACGTTTGTCATCACTATTACCGCCATTTCCATAATGAGAAACAAAAGAGGCAAAAACTCGTTCTTAAAATCGAAATATTTCAACGCTAAATTCTTAAGATAAAAATGGCACCTAAGCCCATAGATGGCGCTACTTGGAAAGACTTTATGATTTAAATTTAAATTTCAAAGTAGAAATTCCTATTACAAGTTACGTGCTGGAAAAACAATTTCAAAAATATGTATTTATGTGTAATTTCTGCACTCACTTGTACTCAACCTTTACGGTCTGCATAAATCTTTCGCTGCAATTTTCACTCTAAACTCCTGTGACATTTATTCATTACATGTCCTTCTGGTCTCTAGTGAAAACAAAAGAAAAAAAAAATAAAATTTTCAACTTTACCGAAATCAGAACTGTAAACAGTATGGGTGGCATAATGCAAATGCGCTGAAAATAACTTTTCTGGATTTTTCAAGAAGCAGTAAACAAGTTCACTTCTGAAATATTAAAAATAATAGAAAAAGTTTACTTCAGTAACAATCGCCATACGTCAGACAATGCAATGCATACAATCAAATGGCAGAGTGCATAATCATAAATCATAAAAATTCTTACAAATTTTCAGAATACTGAAAATATTACTTTCTATGGTTGTTAGTACCAAAGTGCAAGTTATTTAACTAGTGTCTATGTATGAATATATATAAATACATTAGTTTACATTTGATTGCTAATATAAAGGTTTGATATTATGTATAAAGCTTAGAAATATATAAGGCGTTAATATGGCACGAGTTTGAAGAAGCAAACAAGAAGCAAAGCTTGAGAAGAAAATGATCATCAAAATTTGTTCTTCATTTTTATGCAATTTAAAACAATTTACACTTCTTGCAACCAACAAATAACATAGTTTTTCGTCCTTTGAAAATTTAATGATTACATACTGAATTTTATTTCATTTTTTTATTTACTTTAATTAAATTTAATATTATTTTAAAGTTGCACTCCTTTTTATTTAATTTTTTTTCTGTTTTATTTAATTTAATTTTATTTTATTTCATTTTATTTTATTATACTTTATTTAATTTAATTTAATTTAATTTTATTTTATTTTATTTTATTTTATTTTATTTTATTTTATTTTATTTTATTTTATTTTATTTTATTTTATTTTATTTTATTTTATTTTATTTTATTTTATTTTATTTCGTTTTATTTTATTTCACTTTATTTCATTTTTTTCATTTTATGTTATTTTATTTTTTTTATTTAAATTCCAACTACCTATGCTTCAGCAATGTCAAATACAATTCTGTTATGTTATCCCTAGCGCATGGCAGCAATAATCTGATGACAGAAGCTTTAAATAAATTTCCTTAGCAATCATTATCTCTATACATTAGCACATAATTGCCTACACTTTTAATAGTAATTATTATAATTTGTCCACACATACTTTAGGGATCATGAGCCGTAAAACTATTTAATTTGTTTTTTATTCCAATAATTAAACTTTAGTTACTCGCCACATGAATAATGACTTTCACATACGTGTGTACAGGGAGACAACAAATTAACTTTCACTGTTTAGCGGTTTCAAATTGGGCTCACACGTATCATTTGAAAAGAAAGTAAAGCCTTATATTTGTTTAAATAATAAATGCTTGGACGAATAGGCTCACCGCCATGACGTAGGAATAAGTATAATTAAAGGAGTGCCTAACAAATGGTTTATTTACCTACATTTCTATACGCATTTGTAGGCGATGTGATTACACCTTCATCAGCACCATTAACGCTAATGCATGCGAGCTTGAATGCAGATATATACATATATGAGTATATCTACAGCTGAGCAAGTTCACTTTGTATAACAAATGTTATTCAAAGACTTAATGACCAAATGACCTTCAACATTTGCAAGTACCTAAAAATGTACCGTTTAGTGTTACAACATTTCCTAATCAAAAATTTCCCTCTGTTTTTGAAAATTCAGTGCGGCATTCATTTCAGTTTTCACATTTTCATTGCATTTTGCTGCAACTTTTTTTGGGCGAAATTACAGAGGAAATTTTTAGACGAGTCGATAGCCGCTGCAATAAACTTCAAAACGGCATAATTGGGCAAATGGCTGAAATGCACCCAAATAGTCATGCACATGGAATATGTAAGTGCATGAGAGATGGGTTGCAATTAAGATTTAAACTTGTATACATATATACTCGTATGTACTAGTATACTCTTACATGAGAGTGTTCCCTGTAGGGATGATATTATAAGCAATTTTTAAGTTATGTTATGTTACGTTACGGTATAGTACGTTATGTAATAGCAAGATAAATTACGTTATTTATTTATTATTTATTATTTAGTTATATATGTTATGTTGCTTCATGATTTAGGTTATTTTCAGCTATGTGGTGTTAAGTTATATTATGTTGAGTTAAGTTCTGTTTTGCTATGTTAAGTTAAGGCAGGTAAAGTTATGTTATTTTAAGTTAAGATATGTTCAGTTGTGCTGTTTTACATTATGCTATGTTAAGTTTTGTTATGTTATGTTAAGTTATATTATGTTAAGTTGTGTTATATGTTAAGTTTAATGTAAGTTATGTTACTCTATGTTGTGTTACATTATTTTATGTGTTGTGGCATTACATATTAATATCCGTATATTATCACGAATTATTTACTAAACGAATATTTTAAGCTACATTTAGTTATGTTCAGTTAAGGATAAGATATGTTATTTTACATTAGATTATGCTTAGTTTTTTATGTTGTGTTAACTAATGTTACGCTAAATTTATGTTTATGTTACGTTATGTTAAGTAAAGCGACGTAAATTTATATTACGTTATGTTATATTATTGTAAGTTATGTTATTTTAAGAATAGTTAAATATGTTATGTTATGTTACGTTATTTTATATTAAGTTATGTTGTGTTACGTTATGTTATGTTACGTTATGTTATGTTACGTTATGTTACGTTAAGTTAGGTTATGTTATTTACATTAGGTTATGATTAGTTTTTTATGTTGTGTTAACTAATGTTACGTTAAGTTTATGTTAACGTTACGTTATGTTAAGTAAAGCGACGTAAATTTATATTATGTTATGTTATATTATTGTAAGTTATGTTATTTTAAGCAGAGTTAAATATGTTATGTTATGTTACCTTATGTTATGCTACGTTATGTCATGTTGCGTTATGTTATGTTACGTTATGTTATGTTAAGTTATGTTAAGGTACAAGTGCATTCACTTGATTTTAATACGCATTATTTCCTAAACGAAGATTTGATACGTAGGAAATCCCCCTTGCATGCCATTACACAGTATAGACGCACTTGCAGAGTCGAATTGCATGTATGTGCATACGAGTATGTATGTATTTTTTTGCGTATGTGTGAAATATTTATGAGCTACTGTTCACTTAAACGCCAACGTCAATTACATCAATTTTGAACAGTTAGCTTGTCATAATTTACTGTTCCTTACATATGTATGCACATATATACGAGTATATATGTATATGGATGCATGTGGTTTCATTCAATTTTTGAGTGTGTTAACTAACGAAAATGCATAAGTGTAGGTGTGTGTATATATTCCAGTTTGCACTACGAATGCTGAGCCATTGCTGCAAACCTCCATCCTTTGTCTGCAATTGCCATAACAAAGTGTACTAAAACTAAAAAGAGGTAAAAACGTTAAGTCTCAATCGTTACAAAGTTCCTTCGGAAACGAAATTGAAAAATTAGCTCAATATCTGAAAGGAAATTCGTTGGCTGCCCTACAATATTTTTAGAAAAAATTCTTCAAATCGAACGAAATAATGAAATCATTTTCAGTATACAGTAATCCCATAGAGAGACCAGTGTATATGTATTGTATTGTACTATGTATCTCCAGTACATTGAAATCTATTTTAGTTAAAATCTTCACTTTTACTTCAACCTGTCACACTTAGGCTCTTTCCCTTCCTCTCTTTCTTATTGTAATAATGACTGCTCAACAATGGCTAATCCGAATAACACTAGCCATATTGAAAATACCGCTATATATTTCATGTTAATCTGAGCAGATAATATTTACTATGTACACAAAACATATATGTACACACATATATAATGTATACAAACACAGTAGCTCATGGGTGTGTATGTGTGTGTGTGTGTGTGCGTAGGAGTCGAAAATGTTTCAATTGTGTCTACAATACTTCTCGCCTACAACATACATGCATACAAGCATAACCACAAGTACAGCTTGACCTTACTGTACAGCCAAACAATCGATTGCCCCTAAAAGTAGACAAACAATACAAACTTATTTATGTACAATTACAATTAATTTCATGCATTTGACTGGTAATTCACTTTGGCAATCGTGCGCGCAAGCACATTTCATAAGTTAATTGTTAGAAGGGCATAACTCAAAATTTTTCAATATCAAAGTTTTTTTTTATACAATCTGAAATTTGCTGAAATTTTTTAATGCTCTCTTTTTTTCTAACTGAATATTTCTTTTTTCTCGCATTACATTGTTTATAAAACATTAGTTGCTTATTGAATTAAAGGGTATATCTCAAATTTTTTGTTTTATGCTACTTTCGAAGTGAGTAAGGAGTATCTTTTACTTAAGAAGCAACGATTGACCAAAAAGTAGCGAAAAGTTACTCCTACACGCTTTACTTTCTCTCTCTCTTTTAATGTAGTTATGTGTGTGTAAAAGATATATAACTCCTACAAAGGCAATTTGCTACATGTCCCTGGCGGATTTGACCTCGTTGAGAGAAGCCGTTAGTAACCGTTGTTCCGTATTATGGCTTTCAGTCAATTCTCCATTGTTTTTCGTTCGCTTTTGTGATAGGAGTTATTGGTATAATTTTATATTGCTGATTATTGTCTACTCTTTGTGTACTCTGTAGACTTATATGGCTATATACATATATGTATATATAGATGTATATGTATTTCTTAAAATAAAAATATCATTTATTTGACATTGACTAACTTTTATAACACCAAAGGGTATTTTATGTATATATATATATATTTTTTTTTTGTGATGAAAATTTTTAAGTATACTCATATATGTATATTTTTATCCATCAAGTATATTCGTATTTACATATTTTTTACCACAATTTCTTATTGTCATTGAAATATTTACTTTAATTTACTTTCTTTTACTTCTCCTATATGTGTGGGAATATATTTATGTATATGTGTTACACAAGCATATATGCTTACATACCTATTTCTAGCATCATAAAAAGTTCTATGAACATTGATTACTCTTACACAAACATATTCTTGTCATATTTTTATAAGTGCAGGCATATCCATTCCTTGCTTTCCCCAAAGGCAGA